GTGGCAGAATTGCAGAGATGCTTTGGTCCCTGCTTAACGGTGCAAAGTCCCATTTATGCATGTATTAGGTTTTCACTGCCTGTCGCCTGTTCCTCTCCCCCCTCTGCTTTTTCATGTTCAGTGGATTCTCCTCTCTGTGTGTCTCTGCCTCTCTTTCTCTCTCTTTTTTTTTTTTTTTTTCTCCCTATTGTTCCTCACATCACTGACTGTCACTCACTTCATAAAGCCGTCTGGCTCGGAGCTTAAATATTGCAGGGCAACTAAAACCCACCATCAGAGCCAATTCAGTCATATCTGCTCAGTCGTGCGACAAGATTGGGACTTTTAGGGTAGGGAAGAAGAGAGACAAAAGTTCACTCTTCCCTGCAGAGTGCCAAGAGAGGAGGGGGACACATTTCTTCGGTGGAGCCTTTCACAGCGGCAAGTTGCTTGCTCTACATCCTTAACCTATAGTGTCTTTTTTTTCACTGGTAGTTTGCTCAGGTTGCAAGGTCTGGAAGCGCAGGGTGGGGGTTTGCAACAAGCCCATGTGAGTTAAGAACACGAGTCTGTTGACTCTGAGTGGGTTTATAGGTGGTCTTCAAAAAAAAAGGCAAATTAAGGGGAAAAGTGACTACCTTAAATTCATCGCTTGCACCTTTTTTTTGAGACTTGAGGGGCTGACTGCTTACAGGTGGAATTTTACATTTGAACTGGTTGTACCACTTGCCTTCAGTCCACCTAAAATTGTTCCTTTCAGTCAAACTGAGTGAGAAACCTCGAACCGCTTCACTTGCAGAAAATAGAGAGGATGGTCATGGCAGGTTTTTTGAAGAACTAGTTCAGAAGTGATCTCAGGAAGAGCTTAGCCAAGTGTAGCAAGCCGCAAGCGAGACATTCGATGGAGTGAGACAGGAAACATTTTTCCCCTCTCTTGTACAGTGAGTTTTCTGTATGATAAGGTTTATCACATCTAGAATGTCACTCTTGCATGCTGCAGTGGGAAAGTTCAAATGGGAGCTGTGGATATCAGCGTGACTCCCAAAGAAAGAAAGGGATGGAGTTAACTGCGGTGCCTGGGGGACAACAAAGTTTATCTTGTGTGTAGTGGTGTTTTTTACGGAGTTGCACGTGATTGGTAACTGTCGGGTGTACTGTGCTCTGTGAATTTGCAGAAAGAGAATGTTTAAATCAGTTTAGATAATGTATGTAAACAGCATAATCTTCTGCTAGACTTGTTAATGTAAGTGCTGACATTAACACACTCTTTTTACACAACTTTAATGACTGAGAAAGTAGCAATTTTCTGCGGTGATTAAATTAGATGTTTGCCGCTTGCGCATGCAAGGTGTTTGTGCAAGCTGAAGGACTGCGTTCTCTTCTTCCTTTTCTAACGTGGGTATGTGGGGTTAACATCTTACAGGGTCTGAAGGCAAGGAAAACGAGTCCGTCTTGGTTTAGAAAAATGTCATCAGAAGGAGATTTTTGGGTTTTTTTTGGTTGAAAATTTGAGAAATTCCCCAGAGCCATAGAACTCCCAATATTTTGTGTGTTTGTCTGTGTGTGAGTACGTACACGCAGGACTTGAAACAGACTGGTATGTGTTGTTATGTTGTAACATATGGCATTGCAAACATATCCCAGAGGTATCTGAAGGAGGAGGGAAGTTTAGATACTCAGATTTTCATGCTGTTGACTGTACCTTCTTTTTCCCAGCATGTGTGTGTGTGTGTCTGCATTTAGGAAACTATAGATGGAGGTAGTATCTAAGAGATGAAGGTCTAGATCCCTGTCAATAGCTATTTTTATGAATAACATTTCTTGTTTCACTTATCATGGTCCGTAAGTTGGTCTTTCTGGATCACTGGGATATTCTGCATTCCTCAGAGACTTCAGACTGCTCTGATGTGTTAAATCAGCCCATCCCAAACAAGTTTCCTCTTTAGTTCCCTCATTCATAGATTCTTTTTTCTTTTTCCTTGCCTAAAATTATACAGTGGGATGTTTAGGATATGCAGGATGAAGTCCTGGCCTAGGAACAGTTTCTTATCATGCAAAAATAATGACAGATGTAATGTTTGACCTGCATTATGTGAAAACGGACTACTTCCTTAGATTTCTAGTAGCATATCTGCAGGTGGCTCCTAGATTAGAAGAATCTAGAAGATTTGTCTAGAATCTTCTTCTAATCTAGAAGATTCTTCCATATTAGATTGAGGTAGCAACAGCGTTAGATTGAGGTAGCAACAATGACATTTTAGAGAGAGATAATAGTATTTTAGGTCTGAGTTATAGACCTCTGTGTTTCTCTCCAAGTTGGTTCCAATGTCAGTGTGGCAACTGACTTCAGAAGAGGATACAAAGAACAGCCCCAATAACACCAAAGAATTATATTGTCTATAATGCATACTGTACAGCAAAACTAATATATATCATAGAATCATAGAATGGTTTGGGTTGGAAGGGACCTTAAAGATCATCCCCTGCCATCAGCAGGGACACCTTCCACTAGAAGGTGGTAGTTATGGTAGTTAAGCTTACACAGCATTACTAACATAGTAATGATGACGTTATTGCTATTCTTACCTAACAGAGTGATTTCTAAAGTAGAATTAACATATGTAACCTATAGAGAATTCAGGTTTGTGTAGGTGCAAGATTGGCACCAGTTGGAGATCTGATTGACCCATGTGTGGTTCTGCTGTGGAAGAGCTTGGGTGCTTGAAAGCTTCACTCTAACCACTGCAGCTGTGTGCTGATTAATCTGTTCCACTGTACCACTGGCGAGTGTTTGTACGTGTACAAAATCTAAGCAGGCTCACGCAATGGAGCCTACCAGGCACCGCAGAAGGCTCTTACCAGGGAAATTAATTGCCCATTTAGAGTCAGGGAAGAAAGAATTTAGCAGTTTGCTCTGGCTTCCCAGCCCTTCTGCTAATAAATCAGTGTGATCAGGCAAATCAGAGAGCAACCTTTCTGTTCTCAAGGCGTATTAGGGAAATACTAGTTGAAAGCAACAACAAGCATCAGTGGGAAAACCTGAAATCTTTAAAATTTAGCATAATGTGTGGTCATTCTCTTTCTTTTTTTCTTTCCTTAGACAGTGAGAAATGGGTGACTGGAGTTTCTTGGGGAACATTTTAGAGCAGGTGAATGAGCAGTCCACTGTCATCGGGAGAGTTTGGCTCACGGTGCTCTTCATTTTCCGCATCCTGATCCTGGGAACAGCTGCCGAGTTAGTGTGGGGAGACGAACAGTCAGACTTTGTGTGCAACACCCAGCAACCTGGTTGCGAGAATGTCTGCTATGATGAGGCCTTCCCCATCTCCCACATCCGGCTCTGGGTCCTGCAGATCATTTTTGTATCCACGCCTTCGCTAATGTACTTCGGGCACGCAGTGCACCATGTCCGCATGGAGGAGAAGAGGAAAGAGAGAGAAGAAGCTGAGAGGCGTCAGCAAGCTGAGGTGGATGAAGAGAAGTTGCCCCTGGCTCCAAATCAAAACAAAGGCAACAACCCTGATGGGACCAAGAAGTTTCGCCTGGAGGGTACCCTCCTGAGAACCTACATCTTCCACATAATTTTCAAAACCCTCTTTGAGGTGGGATTCATAGTAGGTCAATATTTCCTGTACGGCTTCAGAATTCTCCCCCTTTACCGCTGTGGGCGGTGGCCCTGTCCCAATCTTGTGGACTGTTTTGTCTCTAGGCCCACGGAGAAGACCATCTTTATTATGTTCATGCTGGTGGTGGCTTCTGTGTCCCTCTTCCTCAACCTGGTAGAGATCAGTCACTTGATCCTGAAAAGGATCCGGAAGGCTCTGAAACCAGCGGAGGAAGAGATTGGGGAGGTCCCAGAGAAGCCTCTCCCTGCCATCACAGTCCCCTCCATCCCAAAGGCCAAAGGCTACAAGCTGCTGGAAGAAGAGAAGCCAGTGTCCCACTATTTTCCTCTCACGGAAGTAGGGGTTGAACCCAGTCCCCTTCCATCAGCCTTCAATGAGTTTGAGGAGAAGATTGGGATGGCACCATTAGAAGATCTCTCTAGGGCATTTGAGGAGAGGTTACCATCATATGCACCAGCGAAGGAACCAGAAGAGGAGAAGGTGGTAGCAGAGGAAGAGGAACAAGAAGAGGAGCAGCCAGTACCTCAGGAAGAGCCAGGGGTGAAGAAAGTAGAGGAGGTGGTGACTGATGAAGTGGAAGGGCCGTCAGCACGTGCTGAACTCGCCACTGATATGAGACCCCTCAGCAGGCTAAGTAAAGCCAGCAGCCGGGCCAGGTCAGACGATTTGACTGTATGAAGCTGCAGGATACGGGGAGCACATGAAAAAGAAAAGGTTGAAGAGAAAAGGAGAGATAGAGAAAGAATCAAACGATATTTTTAATCAAAGTGCTAAAATGGCCATTTGAATATTATTTCCTCTTGAGATTCTCAACTGGAAAGGTTCTATCATGGTAACTGTGCCTTATTTACCCTGTCATGTCCATTTGAAAAGGAACGTTTTCCCTGTTTCCACATGCCAGCTCACTCCTTACAGTAATATCTACACTGTACACATCACTGATGTCTTTTAAAACCTAATGTGGCAGTGAACCCCAAATGTCACCACTGTGAACGTATTTACTGGAAGCTTTGTGTTCCACTTTTCCTTTAGAAACGTGGGGAGGATCTGTCCCTTCAGCCAGCGAGGGGGAGACTGATCAACAACTGTATCTACTATTTCATTTTCTGTTTCAAGCCATGACATGCTGAGCAGATCTCCCCTTCGCTGTTGGCATGGAATTGCAGTTATTTAATTCACAAAGTGAATTCTGTGCTTAGCATCACCACAGAAAAACAGCAAGCACTATTTCCCCTCTCTGTTCAGAACATTCAGGCCAAAACGTCCCCACTTTATCTGTGAATGCAAATCTGAGTTAGGTAAAAATATTTTCCCTTTGTCAAAAATATTAGTGCTCTTCAAGTGACATTGACAGTGGGCATGGATATCAGTAGCTCTCTACTAGGATTTAGCAGATGCCCACAGATGGATTATTTGTTCCCAAGAGAGGGAACATCCAGCCCTGAGCCTGTTTCAGAGCACTGGAAAGAATAAATTCAAGTGATATTTTTCACTTGTAGTCTTGCAACTCAAAGATCTGAAACTCGATTAGCAAAGCAAATGTGGGAAGTCTCCTGTGAAAGGAGGAAACAGCTACAGCCCCTAGAGCATGAAACCAAATATAATCCTTCACGGCATGATCCTGACATGTGCTCAGTTCCTGGAGCTCCCAGACCTACAGGCACTCAGCAAATCTCAGGTACAGAGTCCTGAAGGCACCTGTGAACCTAAACCAGGGGTCTGGGTAATTATGTTACTATTTAAACCTCAAAATACAAAACTGGTTGTTCAGGTTTGAAAAAGTCTGATATGATAATAGTCTTTGTTTTTAATTTGACAGACGGGAGCCATCCAGTGGTCTACTTCTCTATTAAATGACAAAGTCTCGAGTAAAACAAGGCCTTTCAAAAGATGATGTAGACCTTTTGTGCCAACAGGTCTGTACAGAACTCTCAGAGCCTCATCAAAATCTTCTTTTTTTGTTTTTTTTTGTTGCAAAAGGCAGAAAAGCATGTGCTTGCAAATGTTTAAATGTCTGTGGATTTCTAATTTTTAGGACTCCAGCAGCACCTTTTGGCTGGGACAGTGTATTCAATGTGTTCAAAAGCTTCAGGTTAACAGCTATGTCCCCCCCAAAACTGAGCCTCATGCCAGAAAAATGCAGGTATGCACTCTCATCTGCTCTGCTCTGCAAACCTCAGACTCTGCCAGCTCAGCAAATTCTTTCTGCTGGGTTGCAGCCCATCCTATTGTTCCCAGGGCAGGCTCTAATCCAGATCAGGGAAAGAAAAAAAAAAAGGTCTTTGGCATAATGCATAAAACT